GTCTCTGTCTCTGTCTCTGTCTCTGTCTCTGTCTCTGTCTCTCTCTCTCTCTCTCTGTCCCTTGCTCTCTCCCTTTTCTCTCGTTTCCCCTTGCTCTCTCCCTTCTCTCTCCCTCCCCCCTCTCATCCCTGCTCACCCTCGCTCTCTCTGTCCCCCTCTCTTTTCTCTGTCTTTCCTTCCCTCTCTCATATCTGCTCTCTCTCCCTCTCTATCTCTCACAGGAGCCATCGACGGTGCTTGGCCGTGTGTACTGCGACAGTGTTGGCAGGCTCAACGCGAGGTCGGTGGTGCTGCGGGGAGACATCGACGTGTCGGGGCGCGCGGCCGCGCCCATGCAGCTTGACAAACTCACCAGCTACTCCCTGTTTCCTGGCCAGGTATGCACGGTAGGAGGAAGAAAAGGGGGGAGTGAAGGAGACAGGGAGGGAGCGAGGAAAGCGGGGAGGAAGGGAGGGAGGGAGACATGGATGCGCCGGGGTGAGTTGGAGCGCCCATGCAGCTCAACAAACTCACCAGTTACTCTCTGTTTGCCGGCCAGGTATGCACGGTAGGAGGAAGAAGGGAGGCAAAACGGAACGGAGGGAGCGAGTGAACAGCTATTTTCAGCGCTGGGTATGGGATTTTCCTGGCCAAGTATGCACGGTAGAAGGAGGAAGGGAGGGAAAAAGGAAAGCAGGGATGGAGGAAGGAAGGGAGTGGGTGAGTGAACTATATTCAATGCTGGGTATGGGATTTTCCTGGCCAGGTATGCACGGTAGAAGGAGGAAGGGAGGGAAAAAGGAAAGCAGGGAGGGAGGAAGGAAGAGAGGGAGTGAGTGAGTTAACTGCTATTTTCAATGCTGGGTCTGGGGTTCAAGTTTCGTGAGGCTGCATCATGGTTGTCGCTCCCGCCCTCACCATGGTATTATACGTAGCCCGCTACACGCACGTACACACCGTTATCAGGGCATGAAAGTAGCCAAAATGTGAACAGGCCCACCCAAAATTTTAAACAGGCCCTTACAAGTTTGAACATGCCCTTAATTTTGTTCAATTTATTCCATTATTAATAAAAGTATTAGCTTTGCGTTTATTAGGCATACTTATAGTATTTCAGTATTTCATCGCTATCAGTGGAGTTCTACTTGTTTGACAGGAATTGCTGGAACATGATTTACTTCTTACTAGTCACAAAGTAAAAACTAGTCAGGAAATTGGTAAATAGTGTTGATATGAAGGCAAGAAGGCAAAATATTTTGAATATGCCAAGTGGACTGATTATATGGGGGGTTGAACCAGCGGCCGCCGGCAAAATAGCGATAATTTCGCACACTGATTATGCACTGACCATGAATAACGCACGTACGCATTCACTGCAGGAAAAAAATGAAAATAAATTTTTTGGGGGCTACTTTTCAAGCTCGCTTGCATGAAAATAGCACTCAAAAATTTGGTTTGCATTGAACTCTATGCAAATTTACGGGGGCTAAATCGCCCCGAGCCCCCGTGTATTTTTTTACTGGTTCACTGCCATCGTAGATGGAATCGTTGTAATGTGTGTGCGCGCGGACGTAGTCTATGTAGCGTCACCGCCGTCGCTCCAGGCCGCCGTCTATCCGCGATCGATTTTCCACAGGTGGCGCTGTTCGAGGGCATGAACTCGACGGGGCGCAGCTTTGTGCCGACGACGCTGCTCGACACGCCGACGCTCACTGCGCCCGCCGCGCGCGACGCGACACTCAAGCGTCTGTCCGTCGTCATGGCATCTGGCCCTTACATGACGAGCGATAGCCTCGGCTACGAGCCGCTTGCGGACTTTGTCAGCTACCTGCAGTCACACCCGCCTGACGTCTGCATTATGGTGAGTGCGCGCATTACGTATCACTGGTATAGTGCTAATATATAGTACTAATATAGTACTACTATAGTACTACTAAATTAATATATGTGTCCCATGACGGCTGCATCATGTGAGTGCGTGCGTTACATATCGCTAGTATAGTACTAATATAGTACTAATATATTTCTACTATAGTACTGCTATATTACTGTCACATGCCACCTGGCATCTGCATCATGGTTAGTTTGTGTGTTACTAGTATAGCAGTACTATATTACTAAGATATTACTACTATATTACAATCACATGCCACCTGGCATCTGTATCATGGTGAGTGCACGCGTTACGTATCACTCACACATCTCTTGAGTTTCTGTTGATGCCTTTATCTTCTGTTGATGTTAATGATGACTGAAAGGTTCGACAATTCGTCAGAGCAATTACGATTTCTTTGTGAATGACTTCAGTTTGGCCCCTTCGTGGATGCCAAGTCAGAACTCATCAAAGACTTGAGTGACGTCACTTATGAGCAACACTTCACAAAAATACTCGAAGTTATTGGACAAGCTGTAGAAAAGTAAGTGGGTAATCAGTGTAGTCAAACAATGTCGTGTACAATATTTTTTAATGATTTGGGGTGAGGAAACTGCTGTAATTACTTTCATTAATAATTGAACTAATTGAATGTTTAATTTGACGAACAAATCAAAAGTCAGTACCATTACTAACAACTAAGACGAATCGTACAAGTGAATCTTATGAGCTATCAGCTTCTGCTTCCATAAAATTGCACGAGGTTGCTACAATGTGCTTGAAATTCAATAATTAAAAATCTTAAAAATCGTTGTAGTTTGCCCTTGAAAGTAGTGCTAGTTCCATCTCAGCGAGATATTCATCATCCTGGCATCTACCCAATGCCACCATTCAACATAGGAAAGCTGAACCGAGAACTGCAGAAGGTAACTACGAAAATTAAAAGAGAAATTTTGGAATGAAAACTAAGCATGTTTTGCTACTGATTTCCACCTTATGTGTGAAATTACATTATTATCCATGGGTCCTACATTCTCGCCTGAACCATTCAAGTATGGATAACATTTTTAAATAGACGCCTTATATGCATAATCTTACCCTGGTACAATGCTTATAGTTTATACTTGTGAATTGAATTTGTGTACTAACTTACCCACGATAGTCTACTTTGACGTCTCTTCTTCGTCATTTCTGTCTAGACGCGATCATCGTTGATTAATCCATGGTTTTAATATAACAGTATAACATCATTACTTCAAAGATGTGTAAAGGTTTGTAGTGTCATTTGTTGATACAAAAGACTAATTGGGGTCAGCCTACGGATTTTGATGACGTATCATCATCGGCATTCTAACCTCGATTTCACCCTCACAAAGAGACGGCAGACGTGCGATAGAACTAACGCGCATGTGTGTGTGTTTGCGCATCGTATTGTAGAGGTTTTACTGCGTGAGTGATCCGAGTACGCTCAACATCGATGGACTGTGCGTGGGCCTCACCTCTACGGACGTTCTCTTTCACATGGGCGCTGAAGAAATCAACTTGTAAGTATAGTCACAAATCAGGAGGGCTGATCACTGGGGAGTCTGTAAGCTCAGCGAATGTGAGTCAGAGGATGGGTTTGGGGAGACCCCACGAATGTTTTATCAGAGGAGAGAAAATAGTTATGTATGCCTTGAATTACTTTGCACTGTCACTTGATTGATGACCATTGCACTTTCGTCCCATTGATTATAGGCAGCCAAAGACGGCAGATAGGCTTTCAAGACTGACCGAGCATTTGTTGCAGCAGGGAAGGTAAGGAGCGACATTTTTTCACACTACAAATATATTGAGAAATTCCTCACAATTTCCACATAATTAATTTTCCAGTTGCATCACAGTTGCTTTGTAAAACTCAATGCATATAGTGGTCTGATAATATTGATATATTATAACCCACTAATAGCATTGATATTGGTGATTGTCTAATAGCATGCAAGAATAGAGCAGGTAGAGATCGGTGCTTTTCATTTTTAGCTACTATCCTCTGAACCCACCATCTGAGGAACTGAATGTCAACTATGAGAAATATGAAGTGTACAGCAGAATGAGTTGCACTCCACACTTGCTGCTTCTGCCCTCTGAACTGAAGCAGTACACTAAGGTAAGCATATATATTCTACCCACTGCTGCATCCACTTTCTGAATTAAAATGGCACATCAAGACATGTATTTCGCTTTCGCCTCTTCTGCCCTCGGAGCTAAAGTAGTACATCTAGTTATGCATATCCCTCTCCTGCTTCTACCATAACAGTACATCACAGTATGCACATCCTTCCCCTATAAACTAAAGTAGTACATCAAAGTATGAACGTCACTGCCACATTTCTCCTATCTTCCGAACTGAAATACTACGTCAATGTACTCATATTCCTTCCCTACGTCTCCTACCTTCTGAATTCAAGCATCACGTTACGGCGCACACGTCAGTAATGTGTGCTGCATGACTTGCACTTTCAGAGCATCAATGGCTGCCTGTGCGTGAACCCGGGGCGTCTCTCTAAAGGTCAGACGGGCGGGACATACGCGCGCATACTAGTGCAGTCCGACAGCAGTGCCAAAGCCGGGTTCACCACGGTCGCAGAGGTTGTGCGCATATGATGGATGGTAGAGCTATGTCAGTAGTGGCCAGTTTCCTCATGTCTGCGCTGGGGAGATTCATGTACGTAAAACAGCGAATGTGTGTATAACGCACAGTAAATACATGTATGTAAATCACAGGCAATGCACATATCATGTAAAATACGATAAATGTGTGTGTAAAGCACAGGAAATTTGTGTATGTAAAGCACAGCAAACAACTGTATGTAACACACTGCAAGTACATATGTATGTGAAATGTCAAATGCATGTGTGAAACACAGCAAATACACATAGTGTATGTAAAACACAGTATGTGCATGAACTGAACTGTCATTTGGCAGAGCCCAGGTTTTGGACTGGGAAGTAAAATAATATTATCAGGAGAATATAATTTGTAGAGGGATGAATCTGATTGCTATTAAAATTACATGTGTAACTTTTAAGATATGATTTATTAAGTTAAAATCAAGAGTAAGTATCTTTGGACTGGCAAATGTCAACTTTCATTTGTTCTCACGAGTCAGACTTCCGTATGTTATGTTCTCCTGAGTGTTAAATAAAATAACATCAGGCTTGCCAGGTGATATCACTAGATCGTATAATTTTGTATTTGTTTCAATTACATACTATACATGGTAAAGGACAGTTTTAAAAATTAAATGATTATATATTATAGATTTGTATATTTACAATAGAAGTTAAGTGAATATAGTTGTATAGTTACTACTTGTGGTACAGGATGGAATAAAAGAAATATATTCAGTTAATCAGTTTACACTGGAAAGTTTTCATTTTAATTACGATGCACATATACAATATTGATATATCTAACACTTAACCAAGTATGTTTTTATTTCACACAAACACTCAACATTAGTATATATGACACAATTTAAAGCTACATACTGTACATTTCATTTCTACTGTACATAAATATACAATTGACTTAAAAATAATGCAAAAACATTTTTGCAATGCAATGTATTAAATATTTGCTTTTGGCAATCACAGGAAAACTCAATCGGCCAATTTTGGTATGTATTACTGCATCCACCACTGTTATACTAGGTTGAAAATATGTATTTTACTAAAAAAGAAATTAAGAATTGACTACCTGATCATACAGGAGTGATAAGTGTAAACTTTGATATGACAATCGTTTATAACACAGCGTGTGAGTACTAGTGGTCTCCGTGTCAGGCCCGGGGTTTCGGAGGGGGGGGGATATTTAAGCAGCCGCGGCACCATCCTATCTCGCGTCCCACAATGCCATCAGTCCTTTGCATCGCCGATGCCGTCTGCATTTATCGCAAACATGGCCTCCGACTCGGGCAGGCAGGGCGAGTCGTATATCTTACAGATACGAGTTTCGGCACGCCCCTTCCTAAGGTACAACCTGCAGATAAACATTTAAGAGCTGTTGGTTTCAAGGTAACTACAATATCCAAGGACAGGGTAAGTGAATGTATGTGCTAATTGTGCAACACTCATTGCTTTTAGGTATCATCAGACCCTACTTGAAAAGAATTTTTTCCAGACTAACACACAGTGACAAGTGTTATAATTTGTAGCTTAGTTATACTGTATTCAATAGAAGAAACCTAACCTTCACGTTGCATTTTATGCAGGTGGTGCTACCGTGCTACGTATACACCAGCATACTATTTTGGGTAATTTTGACAAATGTGATTAGATGTCTACTGAGTTGCTTACCTTGTTGTGGATGCGTGCGCCATGATGTTGCCGCCTATTGGCTTCTTAGGGTCGGCGCTGAACATAGCAGCGCCATCTACCTGCGCCACGACTTGATTCGTGATAACTACAGCAACACCAAACTGAAAAGACGCGCATAAAGTGTCGCTTAACGACGTGTCAGTTCTATAGGGGCGTTTTCACTGCAACCGAAGTGAAATTCCAAGTGTTCTTTATAGACAGATAGGTGTCTGATCTATAAACGTGGTTTCACTGTACAATTCCATTCAAGGGAAATGCCTAAAAGTCCTTTACAGACAGGTGCCCTTTGAATTGCAAAGTCTGCTAATACAATTTTAACATGTTTATATGTGCGCGTGTGTGTGTGTGTGTGTGTGCGTGCGTGCGTGCGTGTCTGTGAAGTGTATATTGTGATGGCTTACCTCGTCAGCTAGCCGCAGCAGCAGCCGGAGGAAGCGTCCCATGTGCATCTGTCTTGCTGCGAGCTCACCACGACCCGAGTAGTCGGTGCGATAGAGTGCCGTCGCACTGTCCACTATCAGTAGCGCGTACCTGTGTGAGCGTGCGTGACAACACCAACACAATTTTTCATTAACATATATACGGAAGCACTGTCCTAACATTTGCTTCACACTGGATAGGAAAGTATACTCGCAATTTATGAATTGATTTCCGATAAAAAAAAACACGCCGATGAGAAAGTTTTGCATGTTTGGAAACTCTAGCATTGATGACTGATATTGGTATGACTGTATAATGATCATCGCACCTCGAATCTGCCATCATGGCTGAGGCCTGTATGAGTAGTTGGGTTTGATGGTCGGTGTTGTAGGCGCGGGCATAAGCAACGTTATCCAGCACGTCCTGGCCCATCAAGCCATACCTGCAAGTAGTCAAAACAGACTTATATTATAGGATGGAGAAATACATGCTGAGTGTTAGTCTGAATTAAAATGCTAGGAAATTTGACCATTTCTACTTCAGCACGAATGCTTCGTGAAAGATTTTGGACTAAAACGTTAAATGTTCAACTGCATGTGCACCTAGGCTTATATTCACACTTATATGTAGACTTCTGCTTTTGGCAATTGATGACTGAGAAAATTGAACGCTTGCTATGGTATACCTCTCAGAAACTGCTAGTAATCGCTCCGGTCTGAATGTTCCTTCTGTGTCTATGTACAAACATTTGCCTTCGCCTCCATTATGGTCTATTGGCAACTAAAAAACAAGTAAAAAATATTTTAAACTACATTTGCTATATATAATTGAATTTAACAGGAGAGTACAAGCATAAGTATATATGAATCGTTAACATCATCTTCTTCAGTCCAGCTGGAATTTAGTGACTTAGAAACACCACATATACTCGAACATAGGCAAATCAGCTATACCTGACATGTGACAGCAATCGTATGTGCAATCTGGGTTTTTCCTGTTCTGAATTCTCCAAAGATCTCTGTGATAGAGCCAGTTTCAATGCCACCTGCACAAAAACAATAGTCAAGTGAGTCACATTTCATTACCCATTGTAATATAAACACATGTACACTATGAGGAATACATGATGTCGAATTATCCACGATCGCCGCGTGATACCACGTAGATATGCTGTACAGACATGTTTATGATTGTACATATATACACGTACCTCCAAGTAGCTTGTCGAGTTCGGATGAACCGGTCGTGATCTGTATGATCTCGGATCGTTTTTGGTGAAACTCGGTCGCCGTAGTGAATCCCATCGGAACCAGCTTTGCCGCCTCCACCTGTAAAAACGTTGCAGGTCAATAACATGGAACCATTTTATCAGAGCACGGCGACAGTGATGAGCATGTGACGAACACACGGGCAAGTAAATGTTTTTATCTAGACTATATGTTTATGATATGCACACACTACGGTACAGAATAGCTTTACAAACACGGTAAACATTTTTGGCAGTGGCGTGAGCATTGTGAATTAACATCTGTGATTTACATTGGTTTGCTAACTAGTATATTTTACAGCGTTGTTTGAGACCACCAGGTAAAAGGATTTCCTAAGATGTATTGTGTCAATAATGTATATCTTTTGCTATCTTTTGTTTCATACCAATATTTTGTCTGCCTTAGCTTCACTTATGCCTTTTATCGTAAGCAGTTGCTTCTTGGGTGTAAATGCGATAGCCTCTATTGTGTAATATCCACCGTCCTCAAGCTTTTTCACATCTGCTGCACTAATCCCGTGACTCTGCAATTAAACAGTAACAACTACATCAAACAAACATTAAGAATGTGCAGGAAAAATGCAGAAGACGCTTTGGCATAAACATCAGGGATTTTGAGCTATACCTGAAGTCAAGCATAGTAGTACCGAGTACTAATGTTGCGCGCAATCTTCCGATCTGTGCTATTTCAAGATCGCGCAGCGCAATCTACTGATCAGCATCCTTGCGCAGTCTAAAATATAAACTCCTCTTCTACAATTTGAAGTAGGAATCATTTGCATATGCAGCATGAGTTTATAAAATATTTTATAGTATTAACTATAGACTTTCTTAATAGAGTATATAACAATATTATATTATACGGATCCTCAGACCGTATATGTTAGTTTGTTTCAAATACCTGTGGAGCCTTGCGCAATTTCGCGATTTTAAGAATGCACAGCGCAGATCGGAAGATTGCGCGTAACACTAACACTATCAGTAATCAAAACAATTATTACCTGCCACAAACCAGCCATGCAGTTTATCTACAAGTTTGTTTCATTTCATAATTAATCATACAATGAATTTAAGAATTTAGCCAATCACCTCTAATACTTTGACACGCAATGGCCCAAAGTTTTCCTCGTCTTCCTCAGTGGCCTGTGGCTGAACATGTTGCTCCATCTGCATCGCCATGTAGCGAATATACCTGCAATATGCATAAACCACTAAATATTGTCTCATATTCAATTGGCTGTCTGAAAATATAAAAGTTCAAATTGCATTTCAATGTAATTCATAACTAATTCATAATGATATATAATTGAACTAGATAATACTATTACATTACTCGCTCTTTATCTGACACTGTCTCGTCTTCTCTTGCTAGATCTCTATCTCGCTCGCTCTCTCTCTTTCGCGAACACGTACGCAATAAGTGACCATACATGCAGAAACATAAGTGATAGAATCTAGAAACACACAAGATTTCAAGATTTCAAGATTTTTATTTGTGGCTGTGCTAAACGAGGATAAATCAGACAGTGGGAAAATTAAACAGTTATGACTTTGTTAAAGGCCCAATCACACCAGAGCTACGCTCATCACGATCGCCCCGTCCTCAAAAAATTTGCCCGAGCGTGGTGAGCGTGGTTGGAGCGTGGCCAATTGGGCCCCAGCGCCAATACTACAATCTAATTACGTCCATACTACGATCCAAGTGCGTCTTTACCCCAATCTCATTGCGCTCAACAAGCTTTCACCACGCTCAACACCACGCCCGCATCACGCTTGCACTGTGCGGACTGCGTCTTTATTGCGCCCAATTAGATCGTGTTGCGTTCGAACGACGCTTGCACTGCGCTTTAGCAATGCTCACCTGCGCTGGCAACGATCATATTAATACCGCGCCGCGTTCTATACATCATCATTCATTCTGCCGTGCTGTCAAGATTAACATCAAGATAATTAAGATCAACATTATCAACTTAAATCAAGATTATTTTCTACGGACACAACTATGCCGCCAAAAGACAAGGGGAGAGCCAGCAAGATCTTTGTTGTCTTCTATTTCTTCTCGTCCTCCTCAGCATGCTGAGGGCTTGGCAATCAAGTAGTTCGAGTTGTCCTTCTACGAGAAACATGTCATGGAGTAGTGTTGCCTCATCCATAGTGGACACTGAACTGGTGGGGTGGCCAGGGTAGCACCCCAAATTATACCCCAAGTTTGCAGGACGTGATCTGAGCGTAACTAACACGTAATGCGAACGCCAAAACTGCGTAGTCTGAGCGTGTTGGGCGTAGTACAATCGTAGTACGAACGGGTCGAGCTTGCTAGAGACGCACCATGGTCATAGCGAGAGCGTGGTCAGGTCACAGAGACATCTCCATGGACGTAGTAACAGCGTGATGAAAACGTATTGACATCGTGCTGAGAACAGGGCGACAATTTTCACGCACCCGACACGCTTGCGATACGACCATTAAGTTCGTACTACGCTCGAGTTACGTGGCGGTGGGTACTACCAGGGAAAAAATTAACATTTATTTTTCGGGGGCTTCTTTTCAAGCTCGCGTGCATGAAAATAGCACTCTAAAATTTGGCTTGCATTGAACTCTATGCAAATTTACAGGGGGTCTTTTTGGCATTTCCGGGGCTCTTTTTGGTATTTCGGGGGCTAAATCGCCCCGAGCCCCCGTGTATTTTTTTCACTGGGTACTACGCCTTCCACGTCTCTAATAGGCCCGCACTGCGCTGTATTTCCGCCACGCTCGCACCACGATTATTTTGAACATGTTCAAAGTTTGGCCACGCTCTAGCTCCACGCTCATGCTGACTGCACCGCGCTCGATCACGATCGCAGTACGTCCATATACGTCCACACTGCGTTCTACACGTTTCCACCACGCTCTTAGAGTATACATAGGTAGAGCCTATAGAGGTAGAGGGCTCAATTAAGGATAGCTCTAGAGCGTGTCCAGTAATAGACATCATCCTATCCTATCAGTGTATCACCGTCCTGGACATCATCTCTATCATGATCTATCCTTGAACCGAGGTAGAGTCTACCACACAAGACTAGCCACAACTACAACTTACAAGTTCCCTTCTCGCTTAACACTACGTCCTACGACGTGTAACAGTCGGAGAGCCTGGTCGGTTTACTCATAGATATAGAATGAAGATCTTTCATCTTTTATCTTCATTCTATATCTGACTATGGTTTACTCAAAGACCTACTTTACTTTTAGTTAGTCCATATATAATATATATCATGGTCATGCCTATGCCTATGCCACGATGTTATTAATATATAGCCTATAGTATAGGCTATAGGACTCTATAGGTTATATAGTGTGACGTGCAACCACCACGAACAGTCATACACACAATAAACGCGATCATTACAAGCTTAACAGAGTCAGGATAATGTTGATCATAACCGATATTAGTAATATTATAATGTTCCACCTACCGTACTTTTTATTTATACTGTTTTATCCAGTTATTTACAGAAGATTTTTCAGACGGAGGAACTTTCCAACTCAAATTAACGCGCGAACCGCCTAACGCACTACCAACGCGGTTATTGGACGGAAATATAGAGTAAACAAAAATTAATAAGGATTAGGCCTCGGTAATATGATTCTAATAGTAAATGTTGATACAAAAAAATGAAACAGAATGAAATGTATTTTTTAATAAATTCTTGCAAATAAAATTACAAGTTTATTTTGCCCCGGATTCGTGCGGTCTTAGTAGAGGGCGCTTATGCTGATGCTAATGGCACCCCCCATAAATTCGTTGTCATTCTAGTGTGGATAATTTTAAGACGCGCCGTTTGTTTAATGTCGATGGTGTGGATGTATTAGTAAAACGATAACAAATGGCTTCAACGTTGAACATGCTCATGGAAATGGGTTTCCAGCGAAATAAAGCGTAAGTTACGTGTACCAATTTACCATATACATTAAATACATCAATCATAATACGATTACAACTACAACGACTTACAAGTTGCATTGTAATTTGGTCTGGCGGTACTATCATCAATGATCAACTTCATAACAACACCGGTGGTGATTTCCCTTCCGTGAATTTGACACGATTACGGATACAGGATAGGATAAGCAGTAAGAGTAAGAGGTAGAGGTTTAAAAAACGAGATATTGATTAAGATTCAGAATGTCAGACTCAGTGCAGTAGTCTGAGTATAGACAAAAAATCAAGCTGGAAACGGCACATGGTAACAATGTCAAAGAGGAGGCAATGTACTATGAGATAGAAAAGATCCAGAGAGAGGAAAAAGTTTAAATAAGGTAGATCATAGATGTCAGTAAGCAGGGGTATTTAGGATTAGATAGAAAAGACCCATAAATAGGGTGTAGGGGATGTGGTAGAAACGGTAAGTATAGATGGAGGAGTTTGGATGAAATTTAGAATGTCAGTAGAAAGGAGGAGGTAAATTAAAAGTTCAGACACATCAAAAAACATCTGTTAACTGTGAAAGTTCAATAGATCATTAGAGTGGTAAGTATGTAGATTTAACTTCTATTGTATTTGAAAATGGACTTAACCCATTGCGTTTACAAAGTGGCTGGAGGTACGGCAGCCGTCATTTGTTAAAGCCCTTTTAGCATTTGTTTGAGGGCTGAAGCAATTATTTGCAGTCTTCTGATGTAAAGTTTACAATATTGTTCATGTTCATACCTAATCCGAGTGTTTTCTAGCTCATCAAAACTCAAATCGTGAATTTATTTCCCAATGCATTATTTCGAAATCTGAATTGGCCGCCGCCATCTTTGTCTCATTTGTATGAAAGCGAATGGACTGCCGTACCTCCAGCCTCGTAAATTGGAGATACGGTTGCCGTACCTCCAGCCACTGCCTTGCGTTTAAATCATGTATGCATTTTTTCAGTGAAAAGGCCATTACTGTTACAAATAACCAAGGAGTAGAAGCAGCCATGGAATGGTATGGATGTGCAGAACTAATCATTCTAATAAGATCAGACGATCAATGCAAAATGTGTAAATTTCAAGTATATCAGAATAAATTTAATTGATCACACTTCTATGTAAACTATATAGTATTTGGTAAAACGTGGAATTTAAATATAATATTATTCCTGTGATTGTAACTAATTTCTCATAGTTAAACATTTATGAACGTAGCAATTCATACGTTTTTGTGCATTTACTTTTCAGGCTGCTGGCACACAATGATGATCCTGACATTGACATGGAATGCCAAGCAGGTAGCCCTCAATCTGAAAGTATGTTTATAGTACAATGTTTAGGTATAGTCTTCATTAATATAGTGAAAGCAATAGTAATAATAATAATAATAATAAATACCTGAGTGAATTCCTTTTGAATTTAGTAATCTTCCAATAATGCTATGGCACGAACAAGCGACGGCCTCTAAAAAACCCTATGCAAAACCCTCGATGTTTAGCTCTCGGGCAAGCTAGCCTGAAACTACGCCACGAACCTGAGGCTGCGATGGAATCTACGATGGCTACAGATGACGTGAGCACAGATACAGGTGCAGCTACAGCGGAGGTTGAGGATGGAGCAAGCTCTGCAGCAGTGAAAGAGGACAAGGCGGAGGAGGAAGCAGACGATGCCCCTGTCGCACTTACCAATGTTAAATCATTGAAATGCGATGAGTACGTACCGTTACACGCTGACCAGTTCGTATAATGTCTTAGATAGCAAACCTGCATTTGAATTTCAGTACAATGCACGTGTGGAGCATGGAGACTAAATGTAATGAAGGGTAACTTCAATTCGTGGATGAATACAATTATTCATTTGTAACGTCTTTAACTTAAACTGGCTTAAACGGTTATGTTTCAGTAATAGTTTATGTGTATATTATAAACATTGGATACAACAAATTTTTATGTGATTTTTATGAGACATGGATTTCGCCATCTGATGTGCAGGTGTAACAGGAATTTTCGGCGAGAAATTGATGTTGAGGCACATGCTGTCAAGACTGGACACAGTAGCTTTTCTGAATCAACTGAAGAAGTAAAACCACTGACAGAAGAGGAAAAGCAGCAGCAAATGCAAAAGTATTTTTATGCTTGTTCATGTATTTATACCAAAACTGCAATCAGTATACCTGTATGCTATGCGCAAAGATGAATTCCAGTTGAATAGTTGTAGCAATTTGAACTTTTTATTTATCGTCAGAACGTCTGTGTCCGTAAGCTCTTTAAAATATAATCGTTTGGTGAAATTGTTCTACAAGGGTACAAGAAAAGATTAAAGAACGAAGGGAGCAGAGAGAGGAGAAGGAGAGGAAAGAGAAACTTGATAAGGAAATGCAGCGAAGGCGTACGGGCAAGGAAATGGTTGAATCTAAGAACAGGTGTGATGTTATATAGTGTGAGCAGGAGTGTATAGTATAGAGGAGTATGACACGCTCGAAACACAAGAAATTCAACATTTCCATGCCCTAGTTTACCTATGATTTATTACGTGAAACTCAATAAAAATGACATAAGAAGTAGCGCTGTACATCCACTTTGTCCTTACACTTTACCTTGTTCGATGCCTCTTCTTATTATGTAGTTATAGCTTCGGACGTCAGGTGAATGACTAAAACCATGTCTGAGGTTCGAGGCTATAACTACATGATAAGAAGAGGTATCAATACAAGGTAAAGTATATGGGCAAGTTGGATGTACAGCTCGACTCGGGGGTTGGGTGTTATTAGTCCCTCTGGGACAATCATTCTAGTACATTCCTGGTGTTATCTGTATGGAACAAAGCTTGGTACAATTGTGTGTAATTATTTACCTGTAGATGGCGTTGGCTGTAGGGAATTAGTTTTACTAATTAATTTACAGTACAGTGAGTTAACACGTTTAATCAATATGTGATGCAGTTAGCTGGGTAGATATAATTAGTTCAATGAGATGACCCTCCTTTTATCCATCAGAACTGTAGTGCATGCATGGCCAACATTGAAGTCATCACTTGTGAGCTGTAAATAAAGAAGGTGTTATTCATTTATTGTAGGATCCAAGAGCAGGAGATGAAGAAGATGGCAGAGGAGAGAAAAAAGGAAAAAATGGAAGAAAAGGCTGCGAGGTGCATTCATGAATTAATACTCAAATGTTATCTGAGCTATACGTGTATGAAGTCACAAAATGCGAATAAAATGGTTAAAATAGCCCCATTACTTGCTTTAAAAAATTGTTTATTTAGAAATATGAGGAATTTTGTTCTCGACTAAAATAATTATTGTGGGAAATGACACTTTTTACCATTATTTCCAGATTAAGAGTAAAAAATCAAATAGAAAAGGATAAATTAGCACGAAAACAAAAGGTAAGCTAAAAAGGTTTAAGGTTAAAGGGGAATGTTAAAAGTTAATTATTTTAATTTAGTACCACATTCCTCCAGATATATTGATATAATACTAGTATTGTGAATTAAGTAATTGGGCAGTGTTTCTGAGGAATGTCAATGAAATTTTAAACAGATCGTTGCTAAACTATGCAAAATAATTACCTGTGGCAATGCATAAATGTTCTGCTCCTGTAGTGAATTTTTGTCTACACTTAAAGTTCCAATTCGGAGACTCGGCACCTGCCCCGCCCGCTCCCGTAGCAGCGGACCCTCCACCGGTGACACAGCCGCATCCGAAGAAAGAATACGACAAGTGCAAACTACAGGTAGTCGTCTTCTTGATCATCTTCCGCGGTCCATTCTTAAATGTTAAAGCGAGTTTTAACTTTTCTATGTGCAAGAAACAGCTCGACCACGTCGCGTACGCCATTCGTGCAAGCGGTAAAACACGTTCAACTCTTCTACGTGTAAGAAGTGCGTCGGGTGAACTTACGGGCGCAGGTAGCGCGGGTTGGGTTATTTTCGTTCGCTCTGCTATTCGCGCCGCCGCGGTGGCGCCTTTGAACGGAACTGCTTCGCTCCCGATCCCTTCCGGTAACGCGGCGATGTCGGCATGTCGCTGCAGATACGGCTAGTGGGCGGCAAGTCACTGATCCAGGAGTTTGGCGCAAAGGAGCAGCTGGCTGCGGTGCGGCTCTTTGTGCAGATGCGGCTGCCCGATCAGGCAGAACCTTTCACATTCATGACAACCTTCCCGAAACATATCTTCACCGAGGAGGAGATGGAGGTGCCACTCTGCGAACTAGGTATGGTCTACGCGATAGTTCATCGCTTGCGTAAGTTGTTGTGCAAGCTTCATCGTCGTGATTTGGATTTAAACTCTAAATATTATTAACATTGGCATTAACATAGATTTGTTTTTTGTTTTAATTTGATTCGGTTTTATTGCAATTTTGATATCGAATATAATTAACTTCGGCATTAAATGGAGTCGGAAATATTGCAAGTGATGTAGGGTGTGGCTGTGACTCATGGGAATAGTGGTAACTATCTTTTTTATTTATTTATTTCAGGTCTTGTTCCAACATCCGTATTGCTTGTTACTAAACCCTGACAGCACTACCGTTTGGCAAAAACTGAGACTGTTCATAGGTTTTACTGTGAGCATGTACCATCATGTCAATCACTGCTGTTATGATATTTGCTGGGTTATGTAATATAATATAAGTACAAGCTGTGCATTGTCAACATGTGTTGTAAAGTTTGTGAAAGGGGCTGTTGTTGGTAGTGGTCAGAGTGGTGATTTCACAGTCCCTAATCCCATTTTTTCGTAGTGTGCCTAGGGCTCTCCCAAAACAGTCTGCAAATCTGTTAACTGCTATACACAGATTCTTTCCATTAAGTTATTTATCCAGCAAGTTTCAGCATCATTCTCCATTAAGTTAACGATCTGTGGAAGTGTGCTGTTTGTTACAAATAACATTATAAATGAACACGTGCTGAAATGTAGCAGTGTGTTCGTTTCCCGATGTGTTTAGCCCCATTGGCTGACCTGCTTATGTAGCAACGGTGCAGGTTATACTGTTGAAGGTTGTGTGCATATAGCACTCGCACCAAGCTTGGTGAAACGAAGTTATATTTATCTCTCCTAAACTAACAAATAATTACAGCATAAATAATAGATAGTTTGACTGAAAATGATACTCGTGAGTGATTTAATTCAGTCATTATCACTGTAACGATGCATCTTGTTGCGATGCACAGACAAGCCAGTATAGTCGAATTCTTGCCATTGTCAAGAAATGCAGCCATGCAGGTTTCTTGTTATTATTATTTTTATATCCATGAGGAATAATATGAGGTATGCAGTATAAATGAACCTTAATTTAATGAAGAATAATGCTGAAAGAATTTCGCTAATTTGCCGTGAAGTTGTAGAAATAATTGACGCATGATGGCCTGATAAGTTTCATCTACCACGTTGAGGAAGTGATTGTTTTAAACGCTTGCTGCATATAGCCGAAATCTGTATGGTATTACATCATTGTGTGCGATAAAAAAAAACCTACGTTTTGCCTATGGTATGTAATCAAGAGCTAATAATGTAGTAATAAAAGTAGTAATAAAAGGTATTATTAGCTCTCGATGTAATGTATATATATATATACACACATATATATTACTGGTGGTATGAATGTAAGTTGAAGATTGTGACTAGGTGAAAGTCAGGTTCGCGTTCACGAAAATTGTTGTGGCGTTGTGTGTACGAAGTGTTTCCTGCTTCATACGTTCGTGAGGGGTGATACTCCATTAAGAGTGTTCCCAACTTTAATGTCATTAATGGTCATAATAACATATATATATATTATATGACTGGTCATATATCAGTTTGTGGTTTAATGTCATTTAGGTTAGGGTTAGGGTTAGGATTATCAATCATTAATCATTAACGATATCAAAGTTGGGAACACTCCTAATGGAGCGTTAGCCTTCGTGAGAGCAGTTGACTGGTTAACGTGTTCTGATGACGAATGCTTATCAGCAAAGAAGCTCTGACAGTGAATCTCTGCAGGAGTAACTGAGACTTACGAAGCAGGGGCCCGTTGTCAGAAACAAAATTTACTTCAGCATTACTTCCGTCTTAACATTGACTTTTTCTCGTAGACTGGACCTTTATGCACTGCATATATGGAATACAGTACTCGTAACTTTACCATGTTTCTGTCATGGTCTAGGAGCTGGAGCCCCTAGACCGTATAGCTAGCGGAAGGGTGGGGCAAAGGAGGCAGTTGCCCCCTCCAGGGTAATGTTGATACTATTAGATGGTAAGTGGCGAACTGCTCACGGTTAATTGCCAAGAACACCAGTGACAAGTCGATAACCGCGCCTGATTTGCACCAACTTTTGGGACAAATGAGTCCTCGAGAAGTGATGTAATACAGACATTCGTGCTTGCATGGTTTCCGTTCATGCGTGTGTGCTTGCAAAACTGTAACAATACACTACTGACGACGATGTTGTCCAACGCGAATTAATTTCTTTTAAACACGATTCCTCTCTGTGTACATTTTGTCAGGATATCCCGTGTTGTTAGTTCTGTCTCATATGAAGTTGAATAGAAGCAGTGAAAATGATCGCTGGAGCCTGGAAAAAGAATGCGCCTGCAACTAACAGTTCTAAGAAACTAATTTCGTTTCGATGTGCATCCAAACGTGGAAAGCGATGCATCACGTCGTCGAATTTACATTCGAGAATGTTGGAGCGCACAATCATTTCAGTAACATATTATATGGGATGAGATAAGTAGAATGTAGTTGTAGTGTTTTACGATAACGTTTTAAAAACATTTTGTCTCGGTTAAAATATCGGGGTTATATGTGTATAAACTCTCTACCTATGTGTATAAACTCAGTCGCCATGGCGTTTAACAAGTTTATCAGTTTATCAGTTATCAAGTTATTCAGAGACAAACCGCAGCGCGATCTCGCTCGATTTGAAACCTAGACGGATTCCGCACGTCCCCGTCGCTGCCTTACGTCCTTGGACCTGCCTCCAAGTCGTTGACTCTAGCCGTCTAACGAAGTGCCGCGGTCTTTGCTCGTAACCCGCACCACGAACGCGTGCGCGCTCTCTCTCTCTCTCTCTCTCTCACACGACACACACACCACACACACACCACACACACACACACACCACATACACACACAACACACACACACACCACACACACACACACACCACAAACACACACACACAACCACACACACTGTCTCTCCTTTTCTATCCCCTACTACACCTCGCCTCTCTCTCTTCATCTCTGTCTCTCTCTCTCTCTCTCTCTCTTCTCTCTCTCTCTCTCTCTCTCTCTTTCTCTCTCTCCACAGCAGCATTGGGACGCGCGTACCCCACGGTAACTCTGACAAAAAGTAACTAAGATTCCAGACAGGACAAATACAGACGCGCAGTCTTCCGTCTCATGGCGATAAGGTTTTATCTGCGCATCCTCTTGCTGCCCCTAGTTTTACGACGCGCGCATAGACTATAATTATTATCTCTATCTATCTATATTATCTCTATTATTCACTCCTGATATTAGGCCCTACGTATACGGGTTGTATCGCTTAGACGAGATAAGATATATAAGACCCGCGCTAACTAACGACGAAGGCCAGACGCAGGAATCCGGAATAGAACGCTTCCTCACCATTAGATTGCTAAAGTACACAAACGTAACACCGCCAGTGCGCTGCCTCCCGATCTAGTGACGTGAAGTGGAAGACATAGATATTTATCATGGTATATGACTGTCGATTACGTGTGCTCTACTTTAATGAATAAATTTCGACAAAACATTCTCGTTTGATATATACAGGGCTTGGGAATCACAGAAACTTATAGAATATGTATCGAAAGAATAATACGGGTAGATTACACTAGATGTGTTGCCGTCGATTCTGCAAATATTTTTTGTGTCCACGATACATCTACTATACGCTTGTATTACTTAACTCATACGCGGTGTATACTTTACTAAACGCTCTAATTACTTACTATACGCTTGTATTACTTACTATCACGCGTGTAAACTTTAGCTATACGCGTATTACTATACTATACGCGTTGTATACGTTACTATACGCGTGTACATTACGTACTATACGCGTGTATTACTTTACTATACGCTTGTATTACTATACGCGTGTATTACTTACTATACGCTTGTATTACTATACGCGTGTATTACTTACTATACGCGTGTATTCACTTAACTATAGCATGTATTACTTACGTATACGCTGTGTATTACTTACTATACGGCGTGTATTACTTACTATACGGGTAATTTACTTATATACGCTGTATTACTTCACTATACGGTGTATTAACTACTATACGCGTGCTCATTACTTACTATACGCGTGTAATTACTTACATCACGCTTGTATTACTATACGCGTGTATTACTTACTATACGCGTGTATTCGCATACGATATGTAGCACTAAGCATCCGCACCACGACTACACGTCATCGGGGTGAAGAGCAACACAGCTCTGTCGTTTGTTAAGGACATGAAGGCGGCCGTGATGGATGGGACTCCTGAAGCTATCGCTTGGTACGGAGTCCAGAGAGATTATTTTTGCATCTATTAGATGGTGAACGAGCGAACGCGAGAGAGAGAGAGCGAGAGAGAGTGCGCGCTAGAGAGAACAAGCGAGAGAGAGAGCGCGCTAGAGAAAGCGAGAAAGAGCACCGCGCGCTAGAGAGAGAGCGAGAGAAAAGCACCTGCGCGCTCAGCAGAGAGGTGACGAGAAGAGCACGCGCGTTAGCGAGAGCGAGAGAAAGAGCACGCGCGTTAGAGAGGACGGAAAAAGGGGAAGCACGCGCTCGTTAGAGAGATGCGAAGAAAGAGCACGCTAGAGCGAGAGAAATCACGCGCGCTAGAGAGAGAGCGTGCACGCGAATAACGCGCTAGAGGAGAGAGAGCGCGCGTACGCGGTAGAGATGAGAAGCGCGCGTATACACGATTACGCGCTATGAGAGAGAGAGCCGGCGCGTACGCGATTACGCGCTAGAGAGACTGAGAGAGTCGCAGCGTACAGCGATTACGCGCTAGAGAGAGAGAGAGACCGCGCCGTACGCGATTACGCGCTAGAAGAGAAGAGAGACGCGCAGCGTTACGCGGTAGAGGAGAAGCAGAGAGCGCGCTAGAGAAGAGAGCGCGGCGCACCGCGATTACGCGTTAGAGCAGAGGCGCGCGCTACGCCGGTAGAGAGAGAGAGATGGAGAGAGACAGAGAGGGAGGTTCGCTCGCGCGCACGCGACTTACGCGCTAGGACAGAGAGAGAGCTGCGACGCGGATTAGAGAGAGCAAGAGGAGAAGAGACGCGCGCGCTAAAGAGAGAGGAGAGAGAGATGCGTACGCGATTACGCGCTAGAGGAGACAAGAGCGTACGCGATTACGCGTGATGAGAGAAAGCGATACGCGAATTACGCGCTAGCAGAGAGAGGAGGCGTACGCGATACGCGCTACGCAGAGAGAGAGCGTACGCGATACGCGCGTAGAGAGAGAGAGAGAGCATTGCGTGTGTTGCGATATTCGCGTGTTGTGTCATCTAGTCAAGTTGAACGTAGCATCGCAGAGCACTGCATGTGCGCAAGCCGTCTCACGAAGGCCTACTAAATCCACAAGCTGCATGCCGCATGCACCCGGGGGGTTCCTCATATATCGGGAAATGGTCGGCGAGGTGATGACACTTCGAGAAGAACTATGTATTGTAAGAAGGATATATTCCTAGATTCGCCGGTGCACGCAGGTACGGTGAAAATGCGGAGGTGTCATGTAACAGCTACATCACCCAGATGATCCTCAATTTATACACACAATTCCATGTTATTCTATGTCATTAGTCAAAGACTGAAGTGTCAATATAAATGATTGGCGTTTATATTTAAGAGTACAAGTTAACGAGTTGAGAAATGATACTCATTATTTATTGATCATTAGGAATTATTAATATATTAACAATAGTAAAATTCGAGAAGACTATGTATCTATTTGAGTTTGTAAGTATCTGGATTTTAAAGTATAACGTTCTATGTGAATCTCCGGTTGACATTTGCCAACGAGTTATTATTTATGTACATATTATGTTTCACCTGTTTGTAAAATTGCACGTACAATAAAGCTTATTTTTCTACCAAACAACGGGTTTTTCATTTAGAAGTCATGGCGGAATGTTATTGTCTGCGCATATACATTTGCATGCACGTACACATTTGGATTACCACAGTCAGTAACGCAGAACGCTATCAGTTTACACCAAAAGTGAGATAATGCGAATGTATAGCTATAATTAATTGGCAAAATCCATTTTTGATTTCTAATAGACATTAGAATCTATATGCGTGTGAGCGTTGTGTAAGAGCTATACTGACACAACAGAATAGTTTTTATCGTCCCATAAAAAATAGTTCGCACCCTAATGATGTTTTGATCGTTCGTAATTTACTGATCGATTTGGCAAATATTGACAATAACTGATCACAGTGAATACAGACTGATTAATTTGTCCGCTTATGACAATGACTGGTATAAATAAATGTGAATGTACAGTGAATATACTGGCCAGTTAATTTGCCCATCAAATACAAAAACAGACCGCAGTGTATACTAGCTGGATAATTTGCTCATGCATTAAAGTGATTACGTCACCGTAAATATACTAAGCTAATACTAATAGCTAATATAAAGTTAAGTAATGCTTAATAAAATACCGCCACGTTACGTACGAATTCCGAATAACCCTAATACTGTAACTATGTGCGCTTGTAAGGCTTGTAGAAGCAATCATGCAAACTAAGC